AAGAACAGATGAATGGATGATTGATGGAAGGATGACTGATGGAAGGATGACTGATGGATGGATGACTGGATGGATGGATGAATAAATGGATGATGGACGGTTACAGTTACTCATATATTTAATGTTTTATTAGTTCTTGCTATTAATTGAACTTTCTGCAGTGATCTGCAGCTAAAGTCCGCAGAGTTGGACGTTTCCCACCGAGTCACAGCTGGAGGTCAAAGGTCGTTGTGGGTGAGGGATAGGAAGGAGATGATTAGTGATGGTGTTTTTTAAGCATCTGGTCTGTGCTTCTCTCTTCCCGTTGGTTAAAAGTCGAGTATTTCTCAGTAACTTCATGTTTTTAATCTGGAACCTGCAGGTTTCGGTTCTGCTTCCAACCCCAGATTACTGATCTCTGACTGAGAAGTTCTGGTACTGATGCAGCTGCTGTGAGGGGAGTGAGAGGCAGTAGAACAGGGCAGATCTGATTCCTGTCATGTGTCTCTGATGGACAGCTCCAGCTGCCTGGGACTAAAATACCACGGAGGGGAACCGACCCAAACAAGGGTCCGATACCCCCTGTGGCTCCCCAGGCTTCCTCTTACCTAAGCAGCTTCCTGTCCGGGCTCTCTGCTCGCCCTGGAAGGAGGTTGGAGCCCCGGAGGAGGGGTGGGAGGGGGTTTATTTTTGGTTTCAGCGAGGGTCAAACCAAGGAGAGACGCTGAAGCAGCCGGTTCCTCCTCCACCTCATCGATCCTTCATCTCCTGGAGCTGCTTTGGTTCCACCATGACTGCTGGGAACATGGAGCTGTTTGATGCCGGGACGAAAGGCCGAGGCCTGAGGGCCAGGAGGGACATCAACACCGGGGAGGTTCTGTTCGCAGAGCCCAGTTATGCTGCGGTGGTCTTCAACAGGTAAGCTTCACCTGGCTGGATCAGACCTGCAGGTAGGAGATAATTCTGCTGCATTTTACTTCATGTTATTTTAGATATATAAAACGTATCTGCCTTTTCTGGGCTGGGGTCTGGTTTCCGTTCTCCAAACCTCCCACGAAGGCAGTAACATGAACTTGACCCTGACGTGCTGTACTTAGAAGGTATGTCAGGGTCAGACTCAGCACATCTCTTACTGGAGGCCTGTTTGATTCAAAACATCTGAATAAACCAAAACAAAAACAAGTTTCTGATTCAATAAAGCTTCTAAAAATGAAATATTACAATAGATTTCTGCTCTAGATGGTTCCGTAGTAACTGGACCTGGATGCTTTTGTTGTTCGATCAAAGAAAGTTCTCACACTGCAGCTCAACGTTTCTTTACAGCCAAATATCTTTTCACAGTAAATGTGTTTGGCGTTCACACCAAACACATTTAAAGCGTCAGTGCATCTGGTTTAGATGCAAAGTTTATGGGACGCGGCATTGAAGAGCATCAAGTGGTACAACGATATGAAGTGAGAGTCCCAGGAAGTGAGTCTTGCAGCCTTTCCAGCGTTGTTAGCAGCAAATTTTGTGCATTTAAGCATCCAAAGCAGCGGACAAGAAATCTGAACTTTTTCAGCTGGACACTGAGTGTCAACCAATCAGAGAAGCCGATCCAACGGGTGTTTTGGAGACCGATACTACATGCAAACCGTGATCTCTGCTTCTGCCGGTGTAGGTACCAGATCTGCTCATGGCCCCGCCCCTTCTTATGACGTCAACATATGGCAACTCCACTCGGACAAACTGTACTACACCCCAAGGATCAAATCTCTTTTGGAATCTCCACACATTATTACCTATATTTGCTATTATTTTAGATTTCAATGGCGATCTAAAG